ATCGCAGCAAGTTCCAAATTCTACACGACACTGCTCCTGCTACAATTAATACTGGAGCCGGACCTATTACTGCTAAGCAGGTAGGTACCATTCAGATCACTGTCGTCACGTCAGAAGGTGTACTCAACAAGGTCTCCTTCACTAACGTGCTATACGCTCCGGACATGTTTGTATCAGTCCTCTCCCACTCTAAACTACGAGCGAAAAATCTCTATTACCACGGCTGGGACAGCAAGCTGTACCTCATGCCATCACAACAAGAGATCGCCTTCACACCTGAGATCGACAAGATCCCTACGCTCCTCCTCGCCAACACAGAGCTTGAGGCAGCTCGCGCGTTTGCCTTTGCAACCGCCGCAACCACCAACCCAACAGGTGTACTCGCTCCCTATCGCGAGATTACTCTCTAAGAGCTCTATGAGCTGTTTGGCCATGCCGACCCTAAAGCTCTTAAGCTTCTTGTCGCCAACACCACCGGCCTACGTCTCACTACAACACAGGCATTCTCATGCGAGGCCTGCATGTTATCTAAATCGAAGAAGCAGATCTCACGACGGTCTCCAGCCCGCTCAACGACGTTCCTCCATCGTATTCATATCGATATTGTTGGACCAGTGACGCCCGAAGGTGTCAACGGTGAGCGCTACTGGATACTGTACACCGACGACTACTCACGATACCGCTGGATTGATTTCACAGACTGCAAAGCAGCAATCACATCTAAGCTTATACAACACCTAGACAAGATGGAAACTCAACACCACGTTCGAGTGTCGATCGTTCACATGGACAACGACAATATGTTCCTCAACCAGACGACTAGGCGTTACTTCAAGGACAAAGGCATTATCTCCGAGCCTTCCACCGCCTATACACCCCACCAGAATGGAGTCGCTGAAGCCAGCAACTACGTAGTGGAGGTCCGAGCGCGCACAATGATTTTGGCAGCGCCTCACATATCTAAGACATACTGGCCATACGCAGCCCAGTACTCCATCGACGTCCTTAACCATAGCGTCAGCTCTGCTGTACCAGACAGTAAGACACCAAGACAGCTGCTATTTGAGCACATGAAGGTTGCAAACCCTGTGCCTAATCTATGCTCCTTCCGCACCTTCGGAGAAGCTGGGTACGTCCATCAACCAGTACAGCGACGAGTTCAGAGCGCCAAGTTCGAACCACGATCGGTCAAGATGTACTTCGTCGGTCGAGAAGGATCACGGATCTACCTTATGTGGGATCCAGTCACACAGTCCATACACCGTACGAGCAGTGTTGCTTGGCCTAAACACGACGTCAAAGCTGTAGTCCAAGAAGACACAGCTACAACCGAACCGGATCAATGCTTCTATATCCAAGATCCACCGCCAGCACCAGATCCCTCTTCATTTCCACACCATGAAGTCTCTCTCCCGGAGCAAGGTAGTGGTTATGTATTTGACGGACTAGAGACTGAAGCGCAGTCTACCTTTGACTTTGACGCGGACATTGACAACTACAACAGTCTTACCGAGGTTGCTAATGCTCGAGCAACACCTCAGCGTCGGGATACATCCCAAAATGCTCCACGTCACGACGAGATCAGTGCATCATTTGATGCCCGTAACATACTAGATGGACGTCGTCGCATCACTCGACCGCCCAACCGATACGCGGCAGTCTCTCGTTGCTTTGCTACGGCAATTACAGAGGCAACAACAACAGACTTACCGCCTGAGCCTGCCACACGCAAGGCAGCACGCCTTCATCCATACAGCAAGCAATGGATCGCTGCTGAAGATGAAGAGCTCGTATCACTCGACCAGAATGGCACATGGGAGACCACAACCACGATCCCTCCCGGCGTATACGCCCTGCCTACTAAGTGGGTATACAAATACAAAGTCAAGGACGATAGACAACTCGAGCGCTTCAAGGCTCGACTGGTTGTCTGTGGCAATAGGCAGGAGACCGACTTCTGGCGCGAAACCTACGCTGCAGTAGCTCGCGCAACTACACTGAAAGTCCTTCTCGCCCTTGTCGCAACCGAAGACTTAGAATGCGAGCAAGCAGACGTTGTTACCGCCTTTCTCAACGGTAAACTAGACAAAGACGAAGTAGTCTATGTCCGCCTGCCAGACGGACGCAAAGCCAAGCTTATCAAAGCTTTGTACGGCCTGCGCCGCTCACCACGCCTCTGGTACAATGAGCTATCGAGCTATCTCAAGGGTATCGGCTTCGATCCTTTAGATTCAGATCCATGTGTCTTCAAACACCTAGACGGCAGTCTTATCCTTGCGTATGTTGATGATATCATCTTCATCACAGCTACGAAGCAACGCATGAAGGAGATCAAAGAGGCTGTATACAAGAAGTACAAGTGTCGAGATCTAGGACCAATCTCTCACTACTTAGGTCTCCGGATCCGACGCTCACGACCATCCCGACTCATCGAGATCTCAATGGAGTCATATGTCGACAAGCTTGTAGAGGAGTATAGTCGTCAACACGCGCTCCCTCGCTACACGCCGCTTGATACCTCAGTACTCAAGTTGAAGCTGCGATCTCCAACTGATCTTGCAACTCAACAACAAATTCAGAACTACCAAAAGGTTATTGGCAAGCTGCTGTATCCAGCAACCCAACTGCGAGCAGATATATCCTTCCACGTCGCCTATCTCGCCCGCGCTATGAGCAATCCTACTCCGCAACACCACGAGTACGCAATCCAGATCATCGACTATCTCAAGACCTTCAAATCTCTTGTAATGAGCTATCGAGCTACATCTCCACACGCACGCATGCCTATCACCATGTATGCGACATCATACGATGACAACAAGAACAACACTAATCCTACGCTACACCTACATGGCTACAGCGACGCCTCATTTGCTGACGGCGAGGACCGCAAATCAACCTCCGGATACTTGTTCAAACTTGCTGGAGGTACTATCTGTCACAAGTCAGTCAAGCAAAAGCTAGTTACAACCTCAACAACTGAAGCTGAGTACGTTGCTCTTACCTACGCCGCTAAGGAGGCTACCTGGCTGTACCGTCTGCTACACCAGCTCGGTTACAACGGTACAGATACCCATCCTATCCTTATCTACGGAGACAACGCTCCATCTATACAGCTACTACACTCAGAGGGTGTAGCCTACAACTCAACCCAGCAAGAGATCTACTCAGAAAAGACCAATATAGGGGAATACCAACTAGTTTACAACGGTGAACTAGAAGGCATTACTCTAGCTTTCGAATACGCAGCAAAGACAGCTACAAGAGACCAAGAATTCGAGATCTACGCAGACAATCAGGCAGCAATCTATAGGCTTAAAAACCTATCAGATAACCCAGGGCAACAATGGCAACTACGATGCCTAAAAGCAGCAAAAACAATCCGACAAAAACAGGCTACTATCCACTTACTGTGGGCACCCGGACACACAGACATAGTAGGGAATGAAAGAGCAGACTATCTTGCAAAAGAAGCTGCTAAAGAAGTCCCACAATCATCAACAAAAAGCATTGCCTACCTAGGCACTGTTATCAAAAAGATCGAACAAACCGAACAACGCCAAGAGTACCAAAAATACAAAACAAGAGCAACCACTCTAAACAAAAAGACCTACTCAGCAAAATTCCCACTCAAAATCCAAAAAATAATCCAAATACCACGCAGCACCAATCGAGAAATCTCTAGCGCCTTCTACGCTCTCAAAATAGGACACGGATACTTTGGGTCCTATTTAAAGAGATTCAAGAAAAGAGAATCTGATCTCTGCAGCTGCTCGCACACCCAAACACCAGAGCACCTACTTTTACAATGCTCTCTATACAAAACAGAAAGAAAAACTCTTACACAAGCAATTCATCACCAACCAGCGACTCTACCACTACTTCTCCATACTAGCGCCGGTATAGAAGCCACTTTAGCTTTTATTACTAGCACTAGAATAGGAACAAGAAAATGGTACCAAGGACAGCTAACAGACGACACACAGAGAGACACTGTATAAAACTAAAAACACTGCCTTCTCCTTTGTCATAAGAGCCCGCTGCCACATCTCTTTCTATTCACCAAACTGCTCTTTAGCACCAGGCACTAGCTAGACACCGAGTATCTAGCTAGAAGCAAGCCTAAACTGCCATAGCCAAACAAACACCCAAACTGTACGATAAACAAAACCAGATAGAACGGCCTTCGGCCCAGTCCTACATAGTCTCTGACTGAAAAAGGACTCAAATGGAATAATAATAATAATAATAATAATACACTCAGAGGGTCATCACGAGCGTACAAAGCACGTCGATATCTACTACCATTACATCAAGGATCAAGTCCGCGACGGCAACCTCTACGTAGAGCATGTACGAACTCATGAGATGGCTGCTGACGGCCTCACGAAACCTCTTGAACGACAAGCCCACAGCAGGTATCTACAACAGCTAGGCCTTACGACTCCAACTATCGAAACAAAGGACTACAACAAAGGTGGATAGAGCAGGACTATCAGGTCCTGTGGGGGTGTGTCGAGACGCGGTGAGAGCCTTCACTAGTATTCACGGTGAATCAGGCTTCCCGTGCTCTGATTGGCCAGGCACTGATTAGTCAGCTGCTCCGTGCGCGCACCATAGATATTCTCCCTTCTCCCGTAGCTCCAATACAACAAGTTCACGCACGTTTTCTCCACCTTCATCACTTAGCACCAGACGACTGCCCTCAAACAGCCGACGTGCTTGGTTAGTCGTTGACCTAACGGCGAACGACTTTGTTGGATGATGCACACAGGGGTGAAGCTGCAATCAATAGCGGCTGTATGGCAGCACAGCGAACAAATTCCGGGGATGGTACTTGCAACAACACAGTAAATTTATGCCATAAATCGTGGTTCAGACAGCCATACACCGTGTTATTGCGACTACCCGAAAAGGGGGATGACGGGAATGATGCTTTAGTTTCACCTGCAGAGCTTGCAGACTTCTCAACAATCAAGCTAAATGAAAGGTATCAATCAACTAACCAAGCGAAGCTAAGGAGATATTTGAACCGATTAAGACTATCTACTATTGCTTGCTCATCATTTACGCTATTAGGCTAGCCCATGACTTATTTAGGAGCCAATCTCATCCATCCAATTTACTCTTTCCGAATATAGCTATCAATCCATTCAAGATGACCTCCTTGGCTTGATTGGCCTAATCGTTGACAGGTCTGTATGTAAAGCACAGGGATAACGATCTTCTTCTACACTGCGTTGTCCTGTTTAGGTTCACGGCATTGTCTTGCGACTGTACCAACTTTGAATTATTTCATTGTACGTACATCTTTCGTTCCAAAGCGATGGCTTCGTTTGAATAAGAGATAGCTTCGTGCACCATGAGGTTCGTGTCATATTGTCAGATAGCAGGTGTTGCTGTCAGAAAGAAGGCCATCCAGCAGGCAGTTTTAGTATCGGTGTCGATTACAGCCATGTCGGCCAACCCGCCTCGATCCTACTTCGGCCTTACTTGAACGAGAGTATATATATCGTGATAGCATCATCATCAAGAAGAGACAGAATAAACAACTATCAATTCCATGATATATCTCATCTAATTTGACACATATCTTGCCAAGTTTGTGTTTCTCTCATACTCGCCACAAATTGCACCCATCTTGTTCGAGCCGCAGCCATTATAGCATGCCCTCACACAGCCGCATATGTGATTAGTGTGCTAATCGAGCTTACATACGCAGCCATTTGCCTTCTCACGTACGGCCTCCTCACCTATGCAACTCCATCGAGGTTCGATCGAGCCGCCTGTTTACTGAGCCAAGAACTACCTTCATAATTCCAGTCGCGGTCAGCTTCTCATCGCCCGTACCAGTGAAAGGAACGGTATCTACAATATCCCTCAGGTCGTCATCCTTGGCTAACTCAGCAAGCCCGTCGTCCAGCTGCTTTAGGTGCTCACGCGCACCGGGCTCCCGGCCCACCTGAAAGAATTGGATGCCGACTTGCCACGTAGGTGCGTCGAGCTTATCAAGCTTCCTGGCGGCCTGGATGATGGCGGATTCAACGTCGTCCGAGGGCTCGCCGTCGGTGATGACGATGATGTTCATGGGCTTGGTCTTGTCGTTTTTCTCATAGCGCTGGAGATAGGGCGTAAGAATCTTGTTCAGGCGTTGGCCGGTTGGAGTGGCGCCTCTGGGACGCACAGTCTGAAAGATCTCAATGATGGTGCTGGCTTGTGTGATGGACTTGTAGAGGCTAGAGTCGGGGTGGTTGAGGAAGTATATTGTCGAACTACAAAAAGGCCGACCTTCCTGCAGTTGTAGCATGAAGGTATATATAGTGGATAGTCTGACATATATGTCAATGCCGTCTTCGTCGTGCGAGGTGCAGATTGGGGTGATGGTTTCGAGTGCTTCTTGCGTCTCTCTCCCCAGGAACGGCCAGCCATGGATCCGGAGTCGTCTATCAGAAAGACAGTATCAAAGGTCTTGAGGAAGGCGTAAAGATCGTTGTCTGAAGTCGTGGATGCTGATGATGGCTGATTAAAGGCTGCTTTCCCAACTGGTCCTGGCGTGTAAACCGGAGGAGCCTCGCCGATAGGTTCGGAGTTCATGTTAGAGTGATCTAGAGATATGTAAGTATTTGGAGGGCTAAAAATGAAGTGCAAGTGCAATGAGGGGTGAGTTTTGTACTCACGCTGCTGGTGAGTCGCAAGTGACGAGTGAAGACGCTTATCGCTGCTTGAAGTCCATGACTTAAGCTTGGAGCAGCGTTCCTTTACTGTGATAAACATGCTTCCGCGTTGTTGAGAAGGTCTGGTATTGAATCACGATAAAGAAGAGAAATGAAGCCACCCAGCTGCGTTGTGGTCAATGAGACCAGCGCGGGGGCTGGGCCCTATTTACATCTCCAGAGTCCTCGAGATACCTGATCAGCCTCGGAGCGCCTCGTTGTGCGCCTAGGCCAAGGCGCAGCCGATTTGCATTTTCTTAGCGGCTGCGCAACCTACAACTATCATGTCCGTTTGCACTGCCGCGTGGACCTTTGCTGAACGGCTGACCCCAAGCACCTGATCGTCCGCTCATCAGACGCAAATGTTGGGAACTCGATCCTTCTCCCGCTCTTTCCGGGACAGGTGCGATTCTTACCTAGAAACAGGCCCCCTTATGCGAGGGATGAGGGATTCGCTAGCAGACTCCGCAACAATCAATCGATTGACATGATTGATTCCTATATAGGTTAAAGAATTACTTCATTAGGCAGCCTTTAACCTAGATAGGAATCAATCATGCCGATCCGATTGATTGTTGCGGAGTCTGTTCGCTAGGGTCTCTGCAGGGTTCGCTTGGCAGCGTGCGATATTTCGTGCATGGATCGAACACCCGCCCACCATGTATGGCAATTGATAGCTCGAAATATACTTGCCGCCCCCCACAGTCCGCAACAATCAATTAAGTGGGTCCTAGAAGGTTCAGATTGGATTGATTGATTACCGCTTTAAGCCTAGTAGTTACCTATAGGAGTTAAGCCCTACCTAGA